CGCCTGTGGCTCAAGTGGCTAAGGTGCCAGCCACATACACTTATGGTGGTGGGTTTGAATCCAGCCTGGGCCCGCCAAACAACAATGATGGCTGTAATCAAAAAAATAAATAAATAACCAGGCATAGTGGCAGGCGCCTGTGGTCCCAGCTACTTGGGAGGCCGAGGCAGAAGACTCGCTTGAGCTCAGGAGTTGGAGGTTGCTGTGAGCTGTAATGCCAGAGCACTCTACCCAGGGGGACAGCTTGAGGCTCTGTCTCAAAAAAAAAAAAGACTTTTACATTTAAAGATGTTTCTCTTGAGAAAAAGATTTGTCTGCATGTCTGAACCCCTCTCTCAGTTCACAAGGTTTTTGCTCTAAACTCATCTATCCTGATCTAATCAATATGCACTTGGTTTTGTGTAAAGTGAGGATGAGGTTGGGGAAGCCTAAGAAACCAGAAGGACCGGTATGAGGCCGGGATCTCAATCTGTAGGGCCGGGGACTGGTTCTGGCAGTATACTGCTCTGTATTCTCCGCTTGGACGGGGAGGGACACAGCCCGAGAGCAACTGCTGCTCCCAGTATGTATGTGTGTGGGAGGGGAGGTTCTAAAGATGGAGGAGGAGGGGAGATGATGATTCCCTAGCTGTGTTTTTGCGGAAAAAAAAATCCAACTTGTGTAAATCTTGGTAGACAGCCTGTCCTCACCCACTCGCTTCCAAGATGTAATAAGCAAATAAAAAAACTACAATAACGCGGTGCCTGAGGTCGACTCAGAAGGTGGAGGTACATCTTGGTGAGAGTGGTGGGTGGGAGTAGGAGGATTTAGGGAATGGATCTGAACACAGATGGAGCCAGGAACTCTGAGCAGCCCACCCAGAAAGGGAAGAATGGGAGAATAAGTACACATTCCCAAACCTAGCTGCCAGAAATAAGCGGTTGTCATCTCCACCTTCACCCCTCCCCCTTCAGCTCCTTAATCCTGGATGAAGAAGTATCCATGCACCAACCTCCTACCCCCACCCCCAGGAGACCCAGGCTATTCCCCAATTGTAGACCTGAGCCTCCCACCATACTACCAGGGTTGCAGGTCCATCATACCCTGGGAACTTTTCAGGCCATCTCAGTTCTTCCCTCTGCCCAGTTCTATCTCACAGACAGTTATTCATCTGTTTTATTTTGTTGTATTATTATTATTATTTGAGGCAGAATCCCACTTGTCACCCTCAGTAGAAGCGGTAGCATCATAGCTCGCAGTAACCTCAAACTTTCAGGCTCAAGTGATCCTCTTGCCTCAGCTTCCTGAGTAGCTGGGACTATGGGCACCTGCCACACCCCCAGGCTATTTTTTAGAGATGGGGGGTCTCACTCTTGCTTAGGCCAGTATTGAACTCATGAGCTCAGGCGATCCACCTGCCTCAGCCTCCCAAAGTGCCAGGATTACAGGCGTGAGCCTTACTCATCTCTTAAAGGGGAGGACACAGACCTGGCATGGTAGCTCACACCTGTAATCCTAGCACTCTGGGAGGCCCAGGCAGGTGGATTGCTTGAGCTCAGGAGTTCAAGACCAGCCTGACCAAGAGCTAGACCTTGTCTCTAAAATTAGCCAGTGTTGTGGTGGGAGCCCATAGTCCCAGCTCTCGGGAGGCAAGAGAATCACTTGAGCCGAAGAGTTTGAGGTTGCTGTGAGCTATGATGCCACAGGCACTCTACTGAGGGTGACAAAGTAAGACTCTATCTATAAATAAATAAATGGACACTAGGGCTAAGAATTTGGGAGAAAATATCAGCATCTTGCAAGAAACTCTGAAGAAAGCTAAAGTGGGGAAGATCTCACAGAGCCAAGAAGTCCTAGCTATTCAGGAAGGAACTGTGGTATTGAATCCACTAAGACCTGCTCACTTCCTCCCACAATATAATCGCTACAGAAAGTCTTGGAGGGAGAGACTCTAGAGAATTCTCTCTCCCTCCTTCCTTCCCTTAGTCCCACTTGCTTGCCTGGTCTTTCCTCCCTGTTTCCATGACAACTCCAAGGGAGCCTAAACTGGGAGCTTGAATGCTGGGGTGAGAGGAGGAGAGAGGTGGTCCCAGAGCGGAGAGACATTGAGCGGGGCAGAACGTCTGAAACGCTCCCCCTCCCTTGTCTCGGTCCCTTTAAGCTCCCCCCTCCCCGCTCTCTCTCCGCCCCCCTCAGCTGCCTTCATCTCTCCATCGCTGCGCTGCTGCTGGCTGCGCCATCCTGCACCCAGACTCCAGCACCCGCGGGACCCCTGACTCCAGCTGCAGGGACCCTGTCCCAGTGAGACCGCAGGCATGTCATCCGAAAAGTCAGGTAAAAAAGCAATAACCAACCTCCTGCCCATTTCACCATCTCCCGACTCTCCCCAACCCCCTTCCTTACCCCTCCCTAGTGGTGGTTCTGTTTCATTCCCCTTCTCTCCAGCTCTCAATACCTCCACCCCCTCCTCCTTCTGTCTTCCTTCTCTTCCTTTCCTCCTTCCAATCTCAGCTTATGCCCCTTGCCAGCAACATGGGCAGGAGAGCAGGTTGAGAGGGTGAAGGAGGTACAGAGTGGCTTACCATCAGCGAGGTACTGCAGGGAGAGCATCATTGAGAGTGACAGATGGACAATCACAGACTGCCATGGAGACATTCAGTCAGGAAATATGGAGACGTAATTAGATGGGGGTTGTCAGGGGAGTAAAATCCAGAGGAGTCTTTTTTATCTGCTCTAAAAGAGATCCTGAGAGTCTAGGGCACTCTCCCCCACTGAAGGGAGGGCAGGTTAGAACATGTTATCCCACATGTGTTTATACAACTGTTGAATTGAGTACATATTATTAACACAGGACTGCATGTCTACACAGGCGCACACACAAGTTTAGGTCCAATAGCAAAGGATAGAAGACTGGGTCAGAGTGAGAGCTGTGTGCATATTGATGAAAAAGGAAAAGGAGCAAAGGAGAGTAGCGACCTCAAAACTAGATAGAAAGGAAGAAGGTGCAGATGGCCTAGATACAACCCCTCTCTTGCCCAGCAAAAGGGAGAAGGCTTCTCATGCATCTCTCTGTCTCTCTTTCTCTCTCCCCAATTATCTTTCTCCATCCCTGACCGGCTGTGTCACACTTTACCCCTCCTCAATCTCATCTCTATCTGTTAATTCTTCCCTTACCCTCTCCTGGGCTCACGGCCCCCAGGGCTGCCAGACTCGGTCCCTCACACTTCTCCACCGCCCTACAATGCCCCTCAGCCTCCAACCGAACCCCCAGCCCCACCCCCATCGGCAGCCCCTTCCTCTCACCATCACCACCACCACCACTACCACCAGTCTGGCACTGCCACCCTCCCACGCTTAGGGGCAGGCGGCCTGGCCTCTTCAGCAGCCACGGCTCAGCGTGGTCCCTCGACCTCCGCCACGCTGCCGAGGCCCCCCCACCACGCCCCGCCCGGCCCTGCGGCTGGGGCTCCCCCACCGGGCTGCGCTACCTTGCCCCGCATGCCGCCCGACCCTTACCTGCAGGAGACTCGCTTCGAGGGCCCACTTCCCCCGCCGCCACCTGCCGCCGCCGCCCCGCCCCCACCAGCACCGGCCCAGACTGCTCAGACCCCCGGCTTCGTGGTGCCCACGCACGCGGGGGCAGTGGGCACGCTGCCACTGGGGGGCTATGTAGCGCCCGGATACCCCCTGCAACTGCAGCCCTGCACTGCTTATGTGCCAGTCTACCCAGTGGGCACGGTGAGTGCAGGGCAGATGGGCGTGGGAGGAGGGGGGCACAGTGGAACAAGACTTGAAATTGGGGACACAGTGGAGACGGTTGGGATGGAGAACGAGGGCCAGGGAACAGGTGGTGTTCCTGGGACAAGCCCTGGAGAGAAGGGATCCTGAGAGGAGAGTGACAAAGGAAAGACTTGAGAATTGGGGTCGGAGGAGGGCTACTGGGATCAGAGGTCAGGGATTGGGAGGAGGATAGCCTAGAGGTCCAGAGGAGATCTGATGAAAGGTAACTCCTGGAAGGTGGGGAAGAAATGGAAGCTGGGAACCAAGGGGGGATGAGGGAGAAGCCTGGGACTGAGTGGATAAGGGAGTCTGGAGGGAAGAAACAAGGTCTGAAGTGAGGCCAGGACAATCCTGGTGTGACTATACCTTAGGGGAGTGTGAAGACCCCCAAGAGTATGGGTATTAATGATGTAATGAAGGGAGGAGAGGTCCTAGGCAGAATTAATGGGTATCTGGGAAAGTAGGGGATGATCATTTTTTTGAGAAGCAACGGGTAAGAATGGTGTCTTTAAAACCACTTTGCCAGCCATCCAGTGCTTATAGGCTGAGAGAGGGTCAGAGTGACTTCCCTTTCCCCCACACGAACTTTCCTTCCACAGCCCTATGCAGGCGGGACTCCAGCGGGGACGGGAGTGACCTCGACTCTCCCCCCACCACCACCGGGCCCAGGGCTGGCCCTACTGGAGCCAAGGCGCCCGCCGCACGACTACATGCCGATTGCGGTGCTGACCACCATCTGCTGCTTCTGGCCTACCGGCATCATCGCCATCTTCAAGGCAGTGCAGGTGTGGGGGGGGGGAGGGATGGGGCTTGCTTCTTAGTCCAGGGAGTGCTAGCCGTTCTGGGGATTGTTTTAGAGGGAGGCTGAAGCATTTGAGAGAGGCAGCAACTCATAGACTTCCTTCCCTCATCCCTCCCCCATAGGTGCGCACGGCCTTGGCCCGGGGAGACATGGTATCGGCCGAGATCGCTTCACGCGAGGCCCGGAACTTCTCTTTCATCTCCCTGGCTGTGGGCATCGCGGCCATGGTGCTCTGTACCATCCTCACCGTAGTCATCATCATCGCAGCGCAGCACCACGAGAACTACTGGGATCCCTAAAAACTCCCCCATTCCGGCCCCATCCTGCGCCCCTCGACTTCCCAGGCGCGTTCTGCAGTCAAGCTGCGGACCCAGTGGGTGCCCTGAACACCCGCCTCTGGGGCCGTCGCACGTCGATACATCTTAAACTCCGCCTCCAGGGAATCTCTCGCCTTTTGAGCAAGCTCCGAATTCAGTTCCTCAGGAACCCCTCCAAAGCCCACACCCCCAGGGACGCCGCTTTCTGGGGTCCAGACCAACAGCTGGGTCGTCTGTTGCTCCAGGTTCCCACCCCTTCAAAGTACAGCGCCACAGGCAGAGCGCCCTTGGTCTGGTCCCCAAAGACCCGTCTCCTCTATAGGCTCCGCCCCTGCTCTGAAAAAACCCCGCCTCCAGGTCGGCAGGCTCCGCCTTCTTTCTTCTCCGCGGGGTGATTCAGTCCAGTGATTGGGTTTGTGGCTTCAGCCCTAGCCCACCGACAGACAGATTCTTCTCTCTCTTCGGGCAAAAGGACCGAGCCTCGGGGTAGCCACGCCTCCACACGCGCTCCCTTTTTTGCAAGTATGGGTTTTGTCCCTCCTCCACCCAGGTCTCTGCCTATTTTCTTGCTGATCCCAGAGCCTGTCCTTTCGTTGTTTTTGGAATGACAGCTGGGGAGTTCCTGACTTAGGACCCTTCTTCCTGGGATAAAAAACATGTCCTGTTCTCTGTAAATACTCCCTTCCACCCATACCAACCCTTGGGCAGCCGGCTGAAGGGAATACAGGATATGCACCTTCCAATCAGGGAAGAGAGCCAGCCGGCTCAAGCGTCCCCCTGGCAGCCCCGCCTTGTTCTGATCTGTGTGTGAGTGTGTGTGAACTTCTGAAAGACGCTATTAAAAAAATTTAGTGGATTTGTTGCCCGCAATTCCAAAGACTATAGTCCCACGAAGATCCGCCCTTTTAGTTTACTCTTTAATTTTTCTTCATTTCTTTGGCGGCAGGAGGTGGAAGAAGGGGGAGGACTGACAGAGATTAAAGTTGGGGAGACAGGCTTGGCGCCTGTGGCTCAAGTGACTAAGGCGCCAGCCACATACACCTAAGGTGGCAGGTTCAAATCCAGCCCAGCCCGCCAAACAACAATGATGACTGCAACCAGAAAAAATAGCCAGGCATTTCGGTGGGCGCCTGTGGTCCCAGCTACTTGGGAAGCAGAGGCAGGAGAGTTGCTTGAGCCCAGGAGCTGGAGGTTGCTGTGAGCTGTGATGCCACAACACTCTACCCAGGGGGACAGCTTGAGGCTCTGTCTCAATAAATAAATAAATAAATAAATAAAATAAAGTTGGGGAGACAGATGCCCAGACCACAACAAGGACATACAGATATGGGGACCAAAGGAGCTCTCTGGGAACATGTCACGCAAGACCTTGGGGTCTACTCTCAGTGGGCTTTTTCTTCCCCCTGCACTCCTCTTCCATTCCCTACTATCCCCAGAACTCCAGGAAAGCAAGAGGAAAGAAGAGGACAGACAATTGTGAAGAAGTTGGTTAAGGACAGGGTAAAGAGCTGGGAAAAGATGCAAGCTGCCCATAGCTGTTCCTGACTTCGAGTTGGAAGGAGGGGACAGACAACTTAGATTAGAGCCCCACATGATGTACTGTACCAGGCATAGGGAAAACAAAGAGGCCAGAGAGCTGTGGGAGCACTGGGGAGGAGATCTATAACCTCTGAAGTCCCCCTGGGACTAGGCACCCTCTCCTACCCTGAAGTTAACTGGAAGGCCTCTTTGTGAGGGAGGTGGTGATTAGGAGGTGGCATAAGCAGGAGACAGGGTCCTACCCTGAATTTAGGTATTTATGCAACATGCAGACTCCATGCAGGATACTGGTGAAACATCTGTCCAGACAGCAGGTGTGACCCCTGACATCATGGAGCTTACAATCTTACAAGGGAAGTCATGCACTGAGATAGGAGACAGGGATGGAGGGTAGAGTGAGGCATGGATATCATGGGTTCTCCTTTGGATGTTTCAGATTTAATGTGCCTACCTGACCAACTTCTTTTTCAAAAGCCCTATTGCTAACTCAATTATTTACAAAATTTCAAGCAGGCCTTTAACCCCTCCTAATTTAAGATCATCTGCCTTCTCTAGTCAACCTAATTTTCAACCAAATTTAATACACATTATTGGCACCTTCAGGTACTTCCTTAGTTTTCTCAAATCTTAGACCTCCTCCCCCAATCTCTGCTTATTATAAACCAAATTGTTTGGAGCTTGTCTGCACTGCAGACCACCTCTAGGCTATAGACCACTTCTAAGTTTTTGCTCTTGATGTTCTCTTCCCTTTCACATCTGCCTCTCTACTTGGTCAAATTTTATCTATTCTTCAAGGTCCAGGTCAATTCATTCCTTTCTCCAACAAGGTCTCATTCTGCCTTCCAGGTTGGATTAGAGTGGTGGGTTTTTAAACATAGACCCAGGCATTTCTTGGAGCAATGGCTACATTAGAATCTTTTCAGGAGCTTTTAAAAGTCCCAAAGCCCAGGTTCCCAGGTTGCATCCTAGACCAATTAAAATATAATCTCTGGGGATGGGACTCAGGCATTAATATTTAAGACATGCCTGGATAATTCTAGGCTTAGAGGCACTGCAGGAACCACCTACGGAGACAGGAGAGGTAAAAAGGTGGCTTCAGGGTGGTGCCTGTGGCTCAGAGCAGTAAGGCACGAGCCCCATATGCCGGAGGTGGCGGGTTCAAACCCAGCCCTGGCCAAAAACTGCAAAAAAAAAGGGGGGGGGTGGCTTCAAATGGGGACATTTTCTTTAGAAGAATATCTAGATCTAAATTCTTCCATTTTTCACATTATCTGCATTTTTTTTTATCTCTTCCCTCCTGCTATATCAAAGGCACAAGCCAATTCTAGTTTATCTTTGGTTTTCTGATCTTCATTGGATAAAATCTCTTCTACCAATCTTTGAATTCAGTTGAAATGAAAAGAATTAAGCAAAGGGAGAAATGCATAAAAATAACTTCTTTAAGACTCTTCCCTTAGGGGGAAACAAAATACTCCAATTTGAATCTCTTGTTACCTTACCTCAGCTTCTGTGCATGGTGCCCTTGGCTTTTGCACCTCTATCCACAGAGACTCCATCTCCAGGAGAGGTTTGAGCCTCCCATAACACCTACTTGGGTGGTCTGATTGCCCCATGATTCAATTCTGGGTCAGCACTACCCCTTACTCATTGAAGACTTAGCACCTGGATCACAGTCTTTCTCCACTTCCTCTGTCACTCATTATTTTTCATTAACAGGTTCCTCTGTCATTTCATTATTTTTCATGTTTTCAGTGTTCATGTAGATCATCCAGTACCCTGGCCTCCAGAGATCTGCTTCTCCCCACTTCCTAGACACTCTCTCCCTGTGTCACAATTTCAACTTGGTTGCCACCAATAACTGCCACCGCTCCAAGGTCTCACTTTAGTCTTTAGTGTTTTCATGCCACCTCCCCCCCCCCCCCCCCGCCCCGAGTACCCCTATTCCAAAAATTCTTCAACCTCATCTAGGCCTCCCAGCCATCAACTCTACCTATTACCTTTCATTTCTGTTGGATTGCCTCAATTTCCTGTTTTCCTCATTACCCAGTTTAGATTCCAAGGTTCAACATTGTCATCACCTCTTGAGCCCCCACCCTCCATCACATGTTATCCCTGGTTAAATCCTTGCTTGCTCCCAACAGCTGCACCCAACAGCTGGGGAAAAACACAGTCACACTGACTGGTCTCACTTCCTGTGGGCCCTCAGTGTGGCCTGCCAGCCCCCATTTCCCTGACTGATTCACACCCCCCAAATCTGAGACCACAATTTCAAGGATGACAACATTTGTTCCTATTTCACTGAGATAATAGAACCTTTCAGAAGAGAACTTCCTCATAGTCCAACCTGAAATCCACCAGCCTACCTGCATCTCTACCACAGAGGCAATGCAGCTGACCTGCTCCCAACCCCCACCTTATCTGTGCCCTGGGATCCTTCTCACCTGCTTGAGACATTGACTTCTGAAATCATCCCCATATGTACCACATAATTGGTTTTCCCCTCTTTATTCTTTTTTTTTTCTTTTTTTTATAGTTTTTGGCCGGGGCTGGGTTTGAACCCACCACTTCCAGCATATGGGGCTGGTGCCCTACTCCTTTCAGCCATAGGCGCTGCCCTTTTTTTTTTTTTTTGAAACAGTCTCAAGCTCTCACCCTGGGTAGAGTGCTGTGGTGTCAAAGCTCATAGCAATCTCCAACTCTGGCTCAAGCAATCCCCTTGCCTCAGTTTTCCTATTTTTAGTAGAGATGGGGTGGGGTCTCGCTTTTGCTCTGGGGTCTTGAACTTGTGAGCTCAAGCAATCCACCCACTTTGGCCTCCCAGAGTGTTAGGATTACAGGTGTGAGCCACTGTGCCCAGCCTCAGTAAAGCGGCTTCCCTCTCTTTACTGAAACATTCCTATCATCATGCAAACATGCTATAAAAATATACCTTGTGTTTGAAAAGAAGGAAAAAACTCTTGCTATTCACCTGTGTAGTAAAAGCACAACAATCAGAATTGTGCTTATCCCCTCACAGTAAGAGAGTATGACTAAAGAGAGACACATAAGGAAGAGCTTCAACAATATTGGGGAAACTTTACTTTTTAAGCTGGCTGTTTGTTTAATCATTCTTTGTAGTACGCATGTATACAGCAGGTGCCAAAAAATCTATACACATTTTAAGAAAGGAAAAACTGTATTAAATTGTAGTAGTCTGCCTGACATGTGGCTTACTCCTGTAATCCTAGCACTGTGGGAGGCTGAGGCATGTGATTTACTTGAGCTTGGAGTTCAAGAACACCCTGAGCAAGAATTAGATCCCTGTTTCTAAAAATAGCTGGGCATTGTGGTGGACACCTGTAGTCCCAGCTACTTGGGAGGCTGAGGCAGGAGGATCCCTTGAGCCTAGGAGTTTGAAGTTGCTGTGAGCTATGACACCACAGCATTCTACCAAGGGCAATAAAATGAGACTAGCTCAAAAGAAAAAAAAAATTGTAATACTCAAGTCACATTTGACTTCTGCAATTATAAGAGGTGCTCAATGTGATTTGTATTTATCTTTTGTTATTAGTATATATTGAGTACTACAATTTTAAACAGTTTTTTCCTTATATATACATTTTTGGAACCCTCTATATATGCATATACATTATAATTTTGTATGTATAAAGTAATTCACATTTATTTGTAAATTTAACTCTCATTTGACCCAGCTCTCTTCATGACCCAGAGTGCCATGGCATCAGCCTAGCTCACAGCTACCTCAAATTCCTGGGTTCAAATGATCCTCTTGCCTCTGAGCCTCCTAAGTAGCTGGGACTACAGGCACCTGGAATGACTCCTGGCTAACTTTTCTTTCTTTCTTTCTTTCTTTTTTTTAAATTTTTTCTATTTTTAGTAGAGATGGGGTCTTGCTTTTGCTCAGGCTGGTCTTGGAACTTCGGAGCTCAAGTGATCCTCCCCACTCAGCCTCCCAGAGTGCTAGACTTACAGGCAGGCCAGATTATTCTTTATCATGGAGGGCTGACCTATATACTGTTTTGCCAAATGTCTCCTGGGAACATCCTGACCAGTGGTTTTCAAGAGTAAGTGATCCTGGGCAGCACCTGTGGCTCAGAGAGTAGGGCGCTGGCCCCATATACCAAGGGTGGCAGGTTCAAACCCAGCCCTGGCCAAGCCGCAACAACAACAACAAAAATAGCCAGTCGTTGTGGCAGACACCTGTAGTCCAAGTTACTTGGGAGACTGAGGCAAGAGAATGGCCTATGCCCAAGAGCTGTAGGTTGCTGTGAGCTGTGATGTCATGGCACTCTACAGAGGGCAACAAAGTAAAACTCTGTC